CCAACATATGGTGGGGTGAAGACAACCTGCTCAACATCACCTTAACCAGAGGGATCATCAGGAGAACCGCACAGTCACTGCACCACATCAGCAGTGTGGAGGTGGACTGAGGGTGGACTCAGTCACTGGGACTCACATCATCGAGGACCTGACATGGACCTAAACCCCTCCAACCTGGTGAGAAGACCCAGTGGAGGACATTGTCTTGGCCTGGCTCCTCAGCTGCTGTACGGGAGCATCATAGAGAGCATCGTCTGGCAAGGCTGGAGGACAGCAGAGGACAGAAGACTTTTGTCCCAGCTGGTGAAGACTGCTCAGAGGATTGTGGGAGCTGAGATCCTGGACTTGGATGTTGATCATATGAAGGGGAGAACATGGTTCCTCTGTGAGGACAACAGTCACACAGGTCATTCTATGTTTGTCTCTCTGCTGTCAGGGATGAGGTACTGGACCACCAGGACTCAGACCTACAAGAGCCCAACAGGACTTGGACCAGTAGGAGACTACCAGGACTCTGACCATCTGGACAACAAAACCAAATGTGTTTGTCTGTTAAACCTGTGTTGTTGTTGTTGTTGTTGGTTTTTTCTGATTTACTGCTCTCTCTGTGACGCTCCTTCAAAGGTAAATCCTGTAAAATATTTGTTCTCTTCATGCTGTGGACTTCCTGTTACTTCACTGGACTTTCAGGTCATTAATACAAACTCCGTGTTGTTTATTTTCTCCTGCACTCGTTCATATTTCTATGAATATAAAAATGATCCGTGCCGTGGATTCATCCTCAGCACAGTGCTGGTACACAACTTCAGTATATTTTTTATTTTAGTTGTTTTTTATAGAACTTCTGTATATGTGGGCAATGATGGTGCAGAGGCAGACCAGCTGACTCAGGACCCAAAAGTCCCGGGTTCAATCCCCAGTCATTGCACACACTATCCCCAATTAATTTGCTCCCCAGGCGCTCTCGATAGCTGCCCACTGCACCACCTGGGGGTGGATGGGCCAAATGCAGAGAGCTGATTTCACCTTTGTATGGGAACATACAATGATAACACACATTATTATTGTATTATCTGTAAATCTGCATGAATGTGCACTTTACATATTGTTTCATGACTGGAAGACACCAGCAGTTTGTCAAAAATTTATTTGTGTTTTTCCAAAAACTTGATTCTGATGCACGTTCTTAAATAGAGTGTACGGTGGCCCAGAGGTGCCAAACACAAGAACAAAACCAAAAAAAAAAAAAACATATTGGAGAACCTTAAAACCAAACTAAAACATTTTCTAAATACACATCATGATTACACATCAGTGACAAACAAACAGTAAATTGATGTTTCAAATAAACAGCAATGCATTTTATGAAAATTTGTAAACAGAAATGCAGTAAACAATTTTAGAGCTTTTTTATATACATGTATTTTCCAGGTTAATTTTTTTTTTTTTTTTTTTTTTTTTTTACAGTAAATCTGTTAGTTTGCCACCCTCTGCTGGTGGACCATGGTGCCAAATGAAGTCAATAAAAGGTGAAAGAAACAAAATCATCAGAATGTGAACTCTTGTCAAATTAATTAAACAAGAAACTACTTCAAATATCGATCTGTGCACTTTCTAAAAGATGTTGGGGAGTTTATAAAATAGGCTTGATGTTAAAATAGGATGCAATTTGTGTTTTAATTAAAAATAGTAATTATACAAAGAACTTATAATGTTAAAATATTAACGTTGAACTTATTTGTCAAAGGCTGCTCCTGTCTTCCTGCTGATCGACAGTCCCTCTCCCTCCTGGGGGTCTTCAGGGTCTTTGTCTGCCTGGATCTCAGAGGGATGTTAGGGTCACCAGCATGATGGTGTGAATGTGAGTTAAACGGACTGGGAGTCAGGTTTTAAAGCTGCTTTTAGAAAGTTAAAATCTGACACCTCTGTTTAAAGTATACTTTTCTCGTTTCATGTAAATGGCTTCCTTCTTGGTTTCCTTCCTAAACAGTTTTTGCAGGACAACGTCATCAGCAAAAAGCAGAGTCCAGCCCTCAACCCTGAGGGGAACCCAAACAACTGCAGGAAAAACATAAAACACCGAACAAATGAAGTTTCAGATGCTTGTAGCTCAAATGTCTCCCCTTCACATCGAGCAGAAGAAGGTCCACTGGCCAGCATTCCCTTTGGATTTTTAGATAAGGTTTCTGAGTCAGAGGGATGTTAAATTATTCTTCCAACATGTGCCAACACAAGTTCAAGGGGCTGTTTGTTCTCCTCTGTGGAACATGATGTTTTCAGCCGATTATCGAAAGACAAACAGACATCGCTCCCAAAGCTGACCTTTGGCTCAGAGCTGCTCTGGGTTTAAACCATCAAATTACAATTCTGTAAAGATTACAGGCTGTTTCTGACAATAAGCGGCACTAACTCCGCTGTTTTCAGTCTTTTTTTTAGCTTTTTGGTTTTTAGAATAACAGGAAGGAACAAAATCAGAGAGACATACCTGCAACAGGAAAGAAACTAACCATTAATGGTAGCAGGGACTCTAATCTAACATGTAATCTATAAAAACATGGAGAGGAGAGAAACTAAATCCAGATCTGTAATATAAGATGGAGCCAGATTGTTGAGAGCTTTGTGTGTTAGAAGTAAGATTTTAAATTTTATTCTGAATTTGACAGGGAGCCAATGAAGAGAAGCTAAAACTGGAGAGATCTCTCCTACTAACTTTCATTAAAACTCTGGCAGCAGCATTTTGTATCAACTGAAGACTTTTAAAATAAGTTTTTGGACACCCAGATAACAAATCATTGCAGTAGTCCAGCCTAGACATGACAAATGCATGAGCCAGTTTTCCTGCATCATTTATGCACAAGATGTTTCTTGTTTTAGTGATATTACACAGGTGGAGGAAAGCGGTCCTGCAACTTTTTTAATGTGGGGGTTAAAAGACATCCTGATCAAAAATAACACCAAGGTGTTTAACATTAGAATTGGAGGCCAGATTAATGCCATCCAGGCTGCAAACTTCATTCCTAAGATGCTCAGGTCCAATAACCAGAACCTCTGTCTTGTGAGAAGGCGGCACATTTTTGGAAGCTTTGTTTAATCTGAGCAGGAAGAACTGGTTTTGTCTTGTCTTTGCCCTAAAATGTGAAAAGTCCAGCTGATGGTGTTATAGAGAATATCTTGAAGGAGAACTATCACGTTAGGGAGAAAGACTCCAATTAACACAAGTTTTCTAGGAAGTAAAATTGTGATAATCAGTTTATAGGGAAGGAATAGTGGAAAGGAAAATAATGGGAGAGATGGTGGCACCAATGTAAGAAGGAACTTGAAAACCTATTTTGTTTTAATAATTACATGCAGATTGATAAAACTGACAAAAACTGTGTTTTGTTTTGTTTTTGGTGCCACCTGCATCATGAAGGACCCCACTCATCCAGCAAGCCCACTTTTTGCCCCACTTTCCTCAGGAAGGAGGTTAAGGAGCATTAAGTGTCAAACCACTAGACTGAGGAACAGCTTCTACCCTGAGGCTGTTCGACTCATGAATCTCTAACCAGGATTATCACTGTGAAGAATCACATCATGTTACTGTGTTCATTCGTACTCATTACACAGACTCGTGTGCGTGCTGCTGTTCGGTGTATTGTTTTTATGCTATTTTATGCTACTAGTGCTTAGTGTATTTTTATTCATGTTTTCTTAGTTCATATCTTTGATCTTATTACTGTTTTTCTTTTACACTTTAATACTTTTGTTGGATGTAACTGGGACACTGTGTACATAATTTTGTTCCACCACATGTACCACATGTGGTGCGTATGACAAAGAAACTTGAATCCTTGGCACAGTGTAATTTAATGTTGTGAAGGCTGCACGATGCCATGTCATTTTTATAGGTCTATCATTAAATCAGAAACATGTAAAATGTCCCCCTAAATTCACTGTTGGTGGACATTAAAATGTCACTTGTTCACTGGGTAAAGTTGGTATTCTTATTTTTATTTTTGTCATTTCCACCATTGCTTAGCACAATGACATGTTATGTTACAAATAAAAATAAAAGAAATAAAAGTGAAGTGCAGTGCACCCCTAAAGTCATGGTTTGTGATCAGTTGTGTCACATTGATTTCATTTTCTTAGCCATAGTGAGTTTAAAACAGGACGATGCATATAAACTACTTGAAAGAGGAATCTGTCTCCTAAAGTTATTGAATCAAGTGTTTACATATGTAGGTAAACGTAGATGTTTAACAAACTGTTAAATTACACCAGAACACAGGAAATGGCATCTACTTTATTCAAAATTTTATGGGGCAGGACCCCCAGACCCCCACCAGTGTGTTTCCCCCCCACACCCCCACCCTCACACACACATATGGCTTCTGATGCCAATGGTCTTGTCTGAACTTAAAAGCAGAAAATTAAGGGTCATTCAGGTTTTTATATCTTTAAGACATGCATGTAATCTAAGTAACTGAATGGATTCACATGGATAAATATAACTGTGTATCATCAGCATAACAATGAAGATTTATCCCATGCTGTTTAATAACTTTACCTAATGGAAGCATACATAAAGTAAATAGTATTGGTCCAAGCACTGAACCCTGAGGAACTCCATGACTAACTTTGGTGTATGAAGAAGATTCATTATTTACATTTACATAATGTATCGAATGATATAAAACATTTTGGAGCCGTGGTCTCAACAAAACATCCTCCTTCTCTGAAGGAATGTTTAGATTGATTGAATCAAATCTCGGCGTCACACTGACTCTGTTCTGACTCTCAAAGACAAGACATTCATCAGCTGTCGAAATACTTTGGACTCTTACAAAAGCGTGTGTGTGCGTATGTGTGTGTGTGTGTGTATAGTAGAAACAGTTTTTGTTGCATTGAGCTGAAGTGTTCAAAGAGGAGGATAAGCTCCTTTTTGACTCAGCGGTCAGAGTCCTGTATGGAGGTTAAATCAATGGAATCTATATTATGTAGCTGCAGGCGTCACACACTGGCCTTTGTATGTGTGTGTGTGTGTGTGTGTGTGTGTGTGTGTGTGTAACGGAGGTTCTGGATGGGCGGTGTAAGTTGGAGATCCACAGAGATATTTCTCATAAAACTGACTAATTCCTTGTTCTTTGGTTGAGGCTGGTCAGGATGAGGACAGTGCTGTTTGTTGTTGTCCTGCTGCCTACGCTGATGGTGAGAACCCATCCAACACCAGGTGAGAAAAGACTTCAGTCAACTCTTCATCCAGCAGGAGGAAGCAGGAACTTCCAGACATTTAACTCCAAGAAAACCAACGCACAGTTTCTCCTCGTCGGGAGCTGCAGACCAGACCACGTGGAGCCTCACTGTAGCTTTATGGTGTTTGTTTACATGAAAATTCAAATATTATTTTTAGGTTTGAAACTCATAAATGTCAAGAAGTGATCGTTAAAACATTACAGTGCACGAACTGACTGGTTTCCAGCCGCTGTTTGTGGTTTTCAGACAAAAAGTGACGCAGCAGAGCCAAACTCCCAGCAAACCGACTGCACTCAGTTTAGTTTCAGATTATTAGATACCTGGTGAACTCTGGTGGTTCTGCTGTCTTCAGAAGCTTTTGCGCTCACAGAACTTCATTTGTCTGCAAATCAGAATACCAATAGGTTCTGTTCAACTGATTAGAAGCCGAGCCGGAGACCTGCCAACTACTGCAGGGTTCAAACTTTGATTAAAACATCAGTCTGTAACAGTGTTGCAACGCTAAATGACCTTTTGAAAATTACTAATGCTCAAAGTCAGGATTTTGGCCTGCATTGTCTATAAAGTTTCATGCCTACTTTCTAATTGTCTTTTTTGTAATTTATGTACATTTTATTATCACTGGCCTCCTTGTCTGATGTAAAATATTTGGAAATCATTCTTAAGTTTAATGTTTGATCTTTGAGTTCACGCTCGTCAATGGTTCCACACACTGAGTGTTACATCCATTCATGTTTCAGCTGCTCTGCACTCATTCAATTTCCTCTGTATACTAATGCTAATTGATAATGATAACATTGGATAAATAAATATCCTTTCATCATCTGCTTACTCAAATAAGCCACTTTGAGGAAGATTTTTAACCGGTCTTTTACTTGCAGGGGTAGACGATCACAAAAACAGGCTTTCACAGATGTACAAAGTCACATGCTTATAGCCTCGTCAGGGAGAATCTACGCCGGACAGTGAGGCAGGAAGTGTTTTTATAATCCAAGATGACCTCGGCTTCACAGCTTACAGGCTCGGAGCCGTCCTTGGAGTTTATCGTAAATTTTTATCTAAATTCCCTTGACAGCTAATTTCACTATTGTTCATTCTACTACAGCTAATGCTATCAAGGCTAATTCCACTAATATTCTTTTGTACCACTGCTGTTGTTAATTTGACTAGTGCAAATTCTACTAAAGCTAATGCTAATTCTATTTATGCTAATTCCACTACAACTAATGTTATTTCTACTAATGTTAAATTCCACTGATGCTAATGCTAATTCTTATAGTGCTAATACCACACCAGCTTATTGTAATTCTAAAATCACTATTATTAGCTACTTTTAGCATTTGGCTAGAGTTTGCTTCTTTCGACTAGCATTTTGCTTGTGTTTTTCTACCTTCAGCTGCTGCTCCACCGCCCATTTGTTTTTGTTTTGGTTTTAATTATTCTGCTGCTCCTTTCGGCTTCTGCTCTCTCTTTGGTGTCTACTTAGATTTATTTGGTGTTTTTATCTTGCCTGCCACAGGGACTGCAGTTTGAAATTAGCTGAAAGCTATAATCTGGTACAAAACATCTTTACTCAAATGGAGTTTAATGTTTTTTTTTTCTTCTGTTCATGGTTCAGGATAAACAAATAAAGATAAAAATAAATATTGATTTAATCTAAAAGCTCAGTTTCAGCTTTTTGAACAGATGTCAGCAGTTATTCAGCATTCATCTTACTTTTCACAGGAAATGCTTTTTGTCTTTCTTAATTTTATTATTTTTTAAATAATCTACTTTTTTTTCATTCAGCTCAGCGTCATTTAAAATGTAATTTATTTAAAATACATGTAAACATTTCTTTTTGTTTATTTTTACTGATGCAAGTGTTCCTCATGAACACATTGCAACATTTTCAGTTTCAGCTAACGTGCACGTCCCCAGAAGCTTTAGCAGCTTAAAGTAAAATCAGGCGGTGTTCAGCCTCATTAAGCTGCTTCACGTCTCACTGCTGGAAGGCATCGAGCTCCTGAGCACTTCAGGTTGGCCGATAAAAGATGAGCGCAGCAGAAAACAAATCAAATAGACAATCAGTCTCCTGTCTGACTGGTGGGTTTATCTGCACAAAGAAATCCAACTGGGCTGCACCTGAAGGCATCACTCCGACACCTATGGGTTATAAGTAGAAACATTTCCTGAGCATCTGCAGAACCAGACCAACCCAATTTTTAGGAGTTAAAGTGATCCAAATTCATCATGTGTCATTAAAGCCTCACATTTCCTACAGTCCATGAACAGACGCTGATGCGTTCAGAAGTTATAGGAATAAACGGTTCTGGGTTTTTTATGGGGCACATCTTATGTAAGAACAAACAAGTTGAACACCCAAAAACATACCTGTTGAATAATTATGAACCTCAGACCACCTGAGTTCTGACTCTCCACCTCCCTGTCGTCAGCGGGGGGTCAAGACCTCGTGGTGTCACTGAGAAATGGACCAATCAGAGGGGACTATTTGACTGTGAAGGGCACAGAGAGGAGGGTGAGGCAGTATCTGGGGGTCCCCTTCGCCCGAGCCCCTGTAGGGCCACTCCGCCTGGCCGCCCCACAGAGTGCTGAGCCCTGGGAGGGGGAGAGAAACTGCACCCGCCAACCCCCCATGTAAGACCCCCAAACCACCAAAACACACGTCCCTCTGAATGAAGCGTCACCCACCTCCTGTCCTGGTTCTTCATCTGTTTTCAGGTGTATCCAGGATCCAGAGTTGCTGATGAATGTTTCTCGGATCATGTCCATTTACTTCACCCCCCCGGAGGTCTCAGAGGACTGCCTGTACCTGAACGTGTACACCCCAGCCGAGGCGAAGCAAGGAGACAAACTGCCTGTGAGTCAACGTGATGGCAGCGGCTTCGAACGCCGCTCACAGGAACGTTAATGTTCTGTTCTGCCGAGGTGTTGGGTCAGAACGGACTCCGTTCAGTTTTCAGATGTGCAACAAATAATTATTTTCAGGTTTTGTCCAAAATCTTGTCACACTGATCGATGAAGAAGTCTCAAAACAACGACAAAAGTTAATCTGGTTCTACGAGCACTAGATAGAACCTGAACATGACTCCAGCACCCCCACAGAATCCCCAGAGACCTGTTCAGTCTCCTGCCCGCTAACAAAAGTGCTGTAAGAGTTTTACAGACCCAGATCCACTGAGCAAGATCTTACATAAACCCAGATCCATTGATCATGAGCCAGATTTTACATAAACCCAGATCCACTGACCTTGAGCCAGATCCTACATAGACCTAGATACACTGACCCTGAGCCAGCTCCTACATAGATCCATTTCCACTG